AATGTGAGATTGTATACGCTATTGTTTGATTGTTGTCTTCATGAAATCTGTGATCAGAGATAATAATGAAGTCTTCTTTTAACATCCAAGGAGTGAGGTTGCTCCAGCTTCCCTTATTTCTGCAGTCATAATGTAGTTCTGCATTTTAATAATTAAATTCCCTTGAGGGCTGGGTAACTGCCTCAGCACTCAGATGTCTTTTGCATCTGGAATGTTTTTAATGCAGCTTAAAATCTGTAATCTATACTGCTCATGGAATTGTTTTGGTTCATGCGCGTTGTTTGATGAACAGCAGTATTTTATGTGAATGACTTTGGTTGTTCCTTTTGGAATTGTGACTTATTATTTTTTAAAGTGGTTGTTCCTCTTCAAGTAGTAGAGTGTCCGCAGTGCAGACAAAAAAACGAAAAAAAAACAATTGCAGGAGTGGGATTTGAACCCACGCTTGCAGAACCAGACTGTGACCTGAGCGCAGCACCTTAGACCAGTCAGCCATCCAGACAACTTAATGTTAATTGATGTGTTTTCAAGTGGGCAAATTAATTCAAGGTGCCAAAGGCCACAGACACACATTACACAACATCCTTATTATTCCCCCCCCAGGCCCCCAGACCCCTGTAGGATCCTACTGGTCGTTCCTCCCACTGCGGACGTTTAAACATATTTGAATTTGGTATGTAACATGGGATTAATAGTACATTTTCACCATGATTTCAGTATGAGTACATTTACCATGGGCATTCCCTACATCTGCTCTAATCCTTTGGCTCCACCCACCGGTCGGTTCCATGAAACCAAAATTGCATCTCTCTACAATTTTCCTAGATGTCGCATACATGGCAGCGGTACAAGTCCACAATGCATCGCGTCGGAATAAGAAACCGTTCGGCCGGTGGAAGGTTCACTTCGACGCCAGGGCGCTGCGTTGCTTTGAAGAATCCCGACCACCGCCAGTGTCCATTACACCATCAACCTGGCAACCACCCCAAGCATACTGCTCGTCAGCGCCATTACGGCAATTGTCCACGTCGACTAATGGATGGGAATGGTGAATCATTCGGTTCGCAATTAATGAATATATATAGACTCTCCATCATCAACTGCTGTCACCTTCGCGTTTTTTTTTTTTTTTCTTCTTGGGAAACTCTGATTGTCCGAAGATGAGTTATCAATTTACGATAGAACAGTGAAACATTCGTTATCCAGGTGTAGGATTGTTGTCCCTTTCGCGTTTTTTTTTTTTTTTTGTACAGAACCCCATCATCCGGAAAGAATTTCATTCATGCTGGCTTTGGTCTATATTTTCGGTACACAATGCTGTAGTGCTTGAACATTGAGAGATGGAGCCATAGGTGTTTTTGCGAAATTCGTGTGAATCATATGCAATAAAGGACGCGGGCATTGAAAAAAAAATTATATTGTGTAGGAGACTGCCCGAAGTCCAAAATTTTAATGAATATATTACTGTATCAATTTTTTTAGGTCCTCGTCTGAATTCCCTTAGAAAAAAATTTTAATAACCTTTTTTAACTAACAGGCTATTCATCTCAAACCTCCATAACTCAACTTTTCTGATGAGGCCTTTTTGCTATCAATTTCTTGACAAAGGAAAGAGAAAAGCAATAAAAAATTAACTTAAAGTATTTTAAAAGGAAGTTAACAACCAAATGGTCTCCAAGTTATATTTATTTTAAAACACATTTAAGGCCTAGAATATCACCATTAACCATTTCCTTCAATTCTTCTTTATTTTCCACAACAAAAATGCTTGATTCCCCAACTCGAAATCTCGCCAACACGATTTTTTTTCATTTTGCTGGTTGCTTCAAAAATCAAAATCGATTTGAAGAGGTTCGACTGAACTTTTTTTTTGTTGAAAAAAGCAACAAAGTTATTAATCATGATGCAGTAATTGGGCTGGGTTTCTCGGAAATCCCGCCATAGAATCAACTTTGAAACTTTCGCAATTTTCTCTGCGCCCGACGTTTAGATGATTTTTTTGAAAATGACGCACTACAGTCATCATTTCAGGCGTCTTAGCCGAAGTGAAATTCGCCTGCTCACGTTAGAAACCCTGATGGTTCCATCTCAAAATGGAAAACAGCAATCTTTCATTAACTGAGGGCTAAATAATATTTAGTCAAGATTTTGTCAGTTTGATCTGAACACTTATCATCGACTCCTCGTCAGGCGCCGAGACGCGTTCCAAATTTCTGCATCGATAATTTTCGCATAAGCAGTCCTAAATTTTTTTATTCTTGATTCATAAAACGTTGCCGTCGAGTTCTTGGAAGTCTTCTTTAAGCTCTTTATGTAGCTGTTCAGAGTGACCTTCGTCGAACGGAGCCTCGGTTCGCTTACGTCGTTTTCGTCTTCCTAATCGCGGCCGAAGGCGGAGAAATGACGCCCGAGAAACAATCTCAGTATCCGAAAGGCAAGTCTTTCCAAGTTTTGAGTTAATTTCCAAGTTGTTTATCCTGGGATTAGTTAAGGTAAAGTACAACACAAGTATTCGAAAATCAATGACAGAAGAAAATAACTGGAGGGGTTACGCGAAAACTACCCCATCACCAGAGGCGACGACTGGAATAGTTTTTTTTATTAATAATTTCTTATTATTTTTATAAATTGTCAGCACACGGAAATGACTATAATTTTGTCGCCTAGAATTCCTAGATCAGTGTTCCCCAACCCCTAGAGTAAGAAAGGAAAATTTCTTCGCCATGATACATTTATAGAATGTAGTAATGAGGCCCCTGTTCTTGTTATTTATCCGACATTTCGGGGGAAATAATGGCAGTCAAAATTACCTGAGAAAAAATAAAAGTAGGCTTTTCTTCTTATTACACTTTACGCTTCAGACATATGTTCACCCGTCTGATATATATATTTTTTTAGATTTAAATCTGAGGAGCCTTTCTATAGAAGCCCAGCTTTCAATTTTTTAAAAACATTCCAATTTATAGCTGCTCATTATTTCTTTACTTATATTTTTAATACACGTTTGTTTTGAGGACTTTATGGCAGGAATTCGAAAAAATTTCCCTGGTCTTCAAAAATTGTATGGAACTTTGCTGGTTCGCAGAAAATGTTATGACAATTTGGTGGTCCGCAAAATATTTTATTAAAATTTGCCGGTCCGCGAGCAAAAAAAGGTTAGGAAACACTGGCCTTGATTGTCTTTTGTCCAAAATGATTGCATTTTTTTCTGCTACGGTATTGAACTTTTGAAAAGGCATTTGCAAGGCATTCTTCTTCTCAGCATCAGATGATTCTGCATAGTAATTTTTCATCACATCAAAAAGTTAGTCCTAATAAATTCCTATTTGTTGGAGATATATTAAGACTTTCTTTGCACTGAAAAATTAACCGGTTTAAGATTTCGTCATGCTTTATTCTTTGTCGCCCGAGATTCACTGATGAAACCCAGCGCTGAAAAATGTTTCTCTTGACAATTTTTGCATGAAAAATTTAATATAAAACTTGGTATTCCTGGAGAATAGTAAAACACAATTTTTGTAAATTCAAAATAACATGCAGATCACAGCAATGCCTTGAACAACGGCGACGATCTTCAAAATATTTCAGTTTTCGAATACCAGAGACGCATTCGACAGAAAACTTTTGTCAAAGTTTTGCTGAAGTGTAGTTCTAATCCTTATTAGCCAACGTTTCAAGCAAAATTGTATGACGGTGTGCCTCTTTTTATGTTCAAACAATATAAAGGTGACAAAAATTACGAACTCGTTTTTGTGTGAAAAACAGCCATTGGATGCGCATCATCCACGTCTGATTGTGCGTGCGTAAAGGAATTTTCACTTCAATACTTGAAGTTAAAATCCAGAAAATTGTAAAAAAAAACATGTTGCTTTTTTTTCCTTCAGTCCAGCTGGCTGACGGCTTCTTAAGCAGCCGGCCGGCCGTCGTTAAAGTTGCTCTGGCTGGGTACGAACCTGAGTGGGCTTTAGTCGGGTCACCTTAATGGGCCGCTGCTTCCCAGTCGCCCCAAGCAGTCACTGAGAGGCCCGTATCAGGTCGTGTCAACGTTGGATGAGCCCGACGGCAATTTCTTAAAGACTGCCAAAGTGGATGCTTGCGGCCGACTTTGGGTTGGCAGCTCTGGAAGGCAAAATGGAGACCAGGTTGGCTGTGTTTTCGGTGCTGGGACTGCCAAGGTTTACGGGGTTTCCTGGTCCAGAAGACTTTTACCCAAGGTGAATGAATGAACAGAAAGAATTCGTCTTTCGGAAAGAAAGAAATCTTTCCCCTTTTCAGCGTTCACAAAGTTCGATCAACATTCCAACATCCAAACCCCCTCCCCACCCAACCCAAATCCATTCAAAGGCATTCAATCACTTCAGAATGGGAAACAGAGAAAAAAAAGCTGTATATGGATACCAAAATAAAAGAAAATACATTCCACCATGTAAAACTGCACAACTGATTGTGTATTCGTACACCCCTTGTTTCTCTGACATTGGAAACAAAATATCAGTAACAAGAATTACAGCATAAGCCAGATTTATAGCAATTGCAGCATTTACTGAACCCAATTTAAAACACGAGGTTTTTTAGCCTGATCCTGGTAGTACATGCAAATTACTTTGCGTAATTTGCATGTATTATTGCCTTTATTCAGAAAAATACATCGTTTTATTGTGTTTATTGTGCTACTTTAAAAATATTAATCGGATGATCGACTTTTGGATTACGCTTGCACAACATTATTTTATTAAAGTAAAATTCCAAGACACCTCAACTTTTCCGATTTCAGAGCGCTTTCAATGCAATTTTCCAACTTTCACCCAAGCGACTCCAAAATTTCGATTAATACCTGGATTGAGATTTTTCTAAAGAATTTTCTCTTTTTTTTTTGCGTGGAAATAAGATAAAAATAAAGGATGAGGCTTCACGCGAATAAATATTATAAATATCCTACCCTATATATATAGTCCCACAAGAACTTGTTGAATAAATACGATTTTTCAACGTGTCTTTGCCAATATTATTTCTCCTGAATTGCGGTCAATTAATTAAATGGATTTGTATGCGGGCAAGCAGAATGTAAATCGCCCGAAATAATATTGTTTTAATTTAAATTATCTGTAACCAGCTGCAGTTGGCTTCAGAGACTGACTAATGATTCAAATTCCTTAAGAAGTCGGTATTCGAAGAATTGGTGACAATTTTTCATTAATTTTTCTACTTTTAATCAAATAGAACTACAATTGCCTGTATACGCAAATGAAAACGCAGAAGTCGTCTCCAGGAACCTAAAATAAATTACAGATGTCAGGAATACAATTCTAGTCATTGTTTTGCTGATATTCTTTTAATTCTGCCAGGAAATCGAGAACTGTAATTGTCAATCAATGAGCATTTTCACGAAAGGAGAGCTTAACTTGGATTTTTTTTCGTTTGTCAAAAACCCAATGATCAAGCTTCCGTGATTTTACATTACCGGACCAATATCAGAATAAATGTTGCCTATTTTATTCGCCTTTTTGAAAAAAACTGAATGCCATTTTCCCTGCAGATTCCCGGGCTTAGTCAAACTTCAGGGATGGCCTGGGCTCCGGACGACAGAACGTTGTACATGATCGATTCTGCAGAGACCTGCGTATTTGCATACGATTATCACGCTAAAACTGGTTCTCTGGCGAATCCTCGGGCGATTTTCGACGCATCTAAATTTGGCAATGGAGGTTTAGTACACTCCTTGTGTTCTTATTTGATATACGAGTGCTTTTTGTATGCGTTAGTCAAACCAAACAATTCCCAAAGTGGATTGAAAGGTAAAAAAAATTCACGCACCATGTTCCCGCATCTTTTTTTTTTAATTGAAAATTCAAAGGCAGAAAAGATACATTCGCGTGAAAAGGCAACTTTTTTAACGTAATCGTACCGTAAATCATTAAACCAGTGATATAAATTAAATGTGAGTTCCTGACCCTGATGCTGTAAAGGTGAAAATAATGAGCAGGAAATTTTGTCTGGCACCGATCTTCTTGCAATGCTTTGTTACCGTAGTTTATTAAATTCCAAATAATTTTGTTTTGCATTCTTAGTTTCGTTAAATTTCCACAGTCAAATCATAAGCTGGGGCCTCATACTTTGATTTTTATTTCTTTTTATAGCGTAAGGTGGTCAATAGTAATGACCATTATCACCATTAGGTATATTAGTCGTTATGGTAGTCGTTATGACATTTGTAGGCCCCGGGGCTCTATGCCTGCCAAATGGTGCGTTGACCTTGCCCCTATGATGATCACATTTTCCCATAGACTTCAACGGGAACATGTTTGATTAGTTTCCCTGTTCAATACTAGGAATGAAGTCTCTTAAAACTTATATAATTTTTATCAACTTTGCTACAGAAAATAACTTCATCTTGGAAGAAACCCACCCAGAATTTGATCTTCTGGCATCAGAAGAGAGTTCAAGGAGCGAAGTGGCAAAAGTCTTGCTTTACTGTGAACAGATAATGGATAAAAAGCTTGAAAATTGATCACAAAATTTGAATGTTCTTGATTATTTGATTAGAGTAATTTTATAAATAAATTTATTTTTTTCATTTTTGAATGTATAAATAGCGCAATTGTTCAAGAGATATAAAAATGTCGAAAAATTGTTTCCTCCTTTCCATAGAGGTGTTGGAAAATTATTTTGAGACATTGTCCGGATGTCGTCAGGACCGATGTTTCATCAAAGTTGAGTTCACAGGAATTAAGCTTAGCAGACATACAGCCCCAGGGTGTGACATCAGTCGTTCGGGACAGTATATATGACTTGTCCTATAGTCCTTATATGTAATACCTTATTTGGGATTGGTGTCTTTTATTTGCATTCTCAGTGGCACTGCACGGGATGACCATTGACAATGATGGGTATTTGTACATTGGCATATATGGCCTCGGGCGGGTGATTATTGTGGATCCGGAGAGTCACCAGCTCGTGGGCTATGTTTGCCTGCCGACCCCGTACGTGACGGGTGTGACTTGGGGAGGAGAAGCTTTGGACACGCTTTATGTGACGTCAGCTGCCAGACAGGCGGACTTGACCTCNTTTTAGTTTCAACTCAAGTGTCCTTAATTCGAATCGTCTGTATGTCGGGGTCCCACACTGTAGTCAGCAAGCCCTGTCATATATACTGAACAGGATATCAGGAATATACATTATGGAATAAACCCTAACCTGTCTTTTATTTGCATTCTCAGTGGCACTGCACGGGATGACCATTGACAATGATGGGTATTTGTACATTGGCATATATGGCCTCGGGCGGGTGATTATTGTGGATCCGGAGAGTCACCAGCTCGTGGGCTATGTTTGCCTGCCGACCCCGTACGTGACGGGTGTGACTTGGGGAGGAGAAGCTTTGGACACGCTTTATGTGACGTCAGCTGCCAGACAGGCGGACTTGACCTCACATCCGACCTCTGGGAGCTTGTTTCAAGTCACCGACCTGGACGCCAAGGGTTTCAGGAACCTCAAAGCCCACCTCGTGGTTTAATGTTTTCTTAATACTATGCGTAATTATCCCGTTTTCTGTTACGAGTCTCTCCGTTTTCTTTTTTCTTGTCTTAAATTGAATTTTTTTTAAATTTATCCTGGTGCTTATTAAATAATGCCTCGGTGGTTGCCCGTGTTGATTTTCTGTACTACCGTATAAGTTCAGAAGCGTCGATAGAATGTGTAAAGATTAAATCATGCATTAAAATCTTGACGGCAAAGTTTAGATTACCGATATCGAAAATATGACATTGAAGAAAGAAAGGCTGCAGCCAAAATACGAGGCTTGAAATTTATATTTTCATTTTTCAGCTTGGTAACAACGATTTGCTGCTGTTGACTGCTCATTTCGGACAGTGACATCTACAAAAAGGTTCGGCAACAGGTAATCTGCATGAACTCCGTAGAGATGACGTTCGGGTACTTAACACACGTTAAATTACTACACCATCCCTCTATTCACGGAAACGAAAATTGATTCATGATGAGCGCGTTTACAGCATTTTCTTCCGTCAATTTTTTCCATTCTTGCTCAACTGTAATACGGTACTTGCTATACAAACAGGAAATAATGTGCATTTACACAGCTGCTGTACGGAGTTTTTGATCACTAACGTGCTAAATTACGCTGTCAGGCGATTGAGCGCAGTCCAATGAGACGAATTCTGAGCAGCTTTGTCGACGGAATAATGAATCAACTGAAGGAAGAAGTAAATAATGATGAAATCTTTAGAACACATAATGAATGAGCAAGGATATTCGAAAAAAAAGTCGACAGAATCAGTGTTAGAAAACGAAAAGCATCCATTTGCCTCATCTTCATCACTTCCTCAAATCCGCGAATTCAGCGGCGAACTTCGAAATTGGGAAAACAAAAGGTCCTCCAATGAAATTGTGTGCGCTAGATGTTTTTTCTTCATATTTTTCCTTGTTCCGCGTAAAGAACATTTTTTCCCCCGCAAAATGCGATTTCTACTCAAAATTCCTTCCGAAAGATGCTCGTATAGGATTTCACACGCACATCCGCGGTCGTACGATTTCAAGCAGGCAAACTTGCTTCGATATCTTTCTTTCTTCAGATTCTCAAAAATCGCCGCCAATCTCTCGTCAAACGCAGCAATAAAAACGAATTTTTGACACCAAGTCTAATGGATTCTCACGTTGCTTCGGACGGGTTTCTCGATCGATGCTAGCGCTACAACAGTAAGAGATATAGAGAGAGACAACTTGTGGCACATTCGCAAACCAAAAGTCAACATCCACTCATGCAAGCGAGAAACAAAAAAATAAACCAAGGACCGAAAACGTCAATAAAATGCGGAAACGTATCCTCATTCCCCTCCGATCGCGAATGCAGTAATTAATAAAGCCAAAAACAATGAGGGGAATTCGTTCCGCTCCTTATATTTTCCGGAAGAAAACAAGATCTCGCGAGGAAATATGCGGACTCCGGAGAAATGAATCAATCGGAAAGCAGCGGCATGGGGGAAAAAAAACTGTGTTCGTTCACTGAATCAGACAGCTAACGCGGGATTTCCCTTTGACAGTCTTTTGAGAGCTTCATTCCAAAAGCCACTGCATCACGCTCATGTCCCTGCCACCGATGGAAATCAAGCGAGAATCTTCCACCAAGAAAGTGACTCCGCAAACGTGACTGCTGTGTCCGAGTCCAACATTCGCTGAAGCCTATTGATGAAGAGAAATTCAAACCGAAGACAGAATTAGTCGAACACGCTTAAAATTATACTGGTGTAGGAGAGAAAAAAAAAACTAAAGATACCAGCGAAACCCTTTCCGAATCAAATTCAGAGGGACTCAGAACAAATTCGATTGATGGGAGTTTCTGGGCACATTTCTTTAAATTTCTATTCAATTCAACTGATGTCGAAGGAATGGATTACTTCGGATTATTGAAGAATTTATTGATCTATAAAACTCCCCGTTTCCCAGGATCCAACATTTTCGCGGGAGGAAAAATTGAAAAATTACAGCAAGGCAAAATGGGCCTCAAACCGCTGGCTGCTGAATGAAGGATGCTGACCATGGAAGCAAGGGTAAATTTTCCCCTATAGGTCTCTCACTTTCTTTTGAAAAGCATCACGTTACATTTTCATTTCTGGGTCTTCAGAAAAAAATATCAAAAGCCTTTCAAAGTTCCATTTTACTGTATTTCACTGCATAGAGGTTTGAGAGGACATTTCTTTTGAGGTGGGAAGGTCTATATATTACGTGGTTCTCAACGTAGGTGGGGTTAATTTGGGAAGGTTCAACTGTGTTGCATCGCATAGATTCTGTTCAACACACTATTATAGCATTGGAAGTCAATTCATTCCACGCATTCAAGATTTAAAATTTCCAATTTAACAGCACAACAATTTGACTTCGGGAGGTTTCGAGTCGGGAAAGCAAGCATTTGTGTTGGGGGAAAGAAACACGAATAACAGAGGAAAGAGCAATTGGTGATATTCTAGGTGCTGAACTTGGAAGCAAGGGTTTATTTACCCACTTGGTCTTCCACTCTCTTTCAAACCAGTCTAGTTACATTTTTATTGCGTTTCTCACTTTCCTGAGTCATCAGAATAATAGCCAAAAGGCCTCCGGAAAATTCGAGTTTTTGAGGTTTGAAGGGAAAACCTTCGAGTTAGGGAGGTTTATATAATGCCTTTCTTTTAAGGGAATTCAGACAGAGACTAGAAAAAAAATCGACTTCGACCGAGGTTCAAGTCATCGAGGTTCAACTGCAATTCTAAAATAGGATGAAGAGCATTATTTCTGAAAAATGTTCTTCTTTCAAAACAAGACTCAAATTTTTATCTGTATCTCGGGAATAGTGAGGCTGAGGATGAATGACAGGATATTATTCTTGTTATGAAATTGGATCCTATGTATGCTTCATATTTGTTTGAACCTATTATTTTCGGGATCCTCGTTTTCATTTGTCGGCGGCTTTGAAAAGCCGGGGTGATTTTTACTCGGGATGAATGAAGAGAGCTTTGAGAATTTGTTCATGTTCCCTGACTTCGGGAGGTTCGAGTTATCGAGGGTTAAACTGTAATTAATATATATATTTTTTTTACCTTGACCGAAGAAGTCGGATGCGAGAGAAGCCGAACACGGCCAAAGTCGTCGCCCACAGCAAGCAAATCTTTGGATCTCGATCGCGAACAAGCATTCACATCGGTTCCGTCGGCCCCAGTGGGCCAAATCCCAAGCACTGACGAACCCAGGACGCAAGTCTGGGTGGCCCAAGCTACGTCTCTCAGTTGCGAGGATTGCGGAATTTGCCTGCAAACCGACGCATTCCCTGCATAAAAACCACAAAAAAATACCTCCATCATCAACATTCGGCAAAAAAATTGAAATTTTCTTCGCAAAAATCAGCTGAAGATTAACCGAGGACTTCCGCATTTCCATATATCATTCAATCCGATCCAAACAAATAAAGGAGAAAATCTGATGGACTGGGTGACAAATTGAGTCATGTTCGCAGTCATTTTCGCATCGGCACAGTAGCATCTCGTTACAAAAACTTTGGTGTGGGACTTGAGAAAAAACTTCGGTAGTATATTTACTGGACTGGCATTTAAAAGGTTGTTATACTTCTGATATCTAGCCTAGAATAATGGGTAAAATCTTCTAAATTAAAAAAGGGCGCGTCTCTGAAAAACTATAAAAGAATGCATTTGGATGCAAAAACTACTCGTCTGTAATCAATCTGAGTCACGCAAAATTTTGAATGGGAAGTTCTATTCGGTCATTATTCGGGTGCGAAACTATTTATATGATTTCAATCTCTGTTTATTGCAGTTGTTGGTTCTTGGAAAAAATATTGAAAAAAGTAAGGCACCTTCAATAACGTAGGCAAATACCGGGATACAGTGTTTATGTCGTTAAAAATGCAGCAAATATTCATCTTCTAAAGTATTCACGACTCATCGCAACTCACAATATAGTAGCTCGTAATCTCCAGAAGTAGTTTGAAGATTGACTCCATCCTCGGACCAGTCCAAGTGGCTTATGAAGCTCGAATGTCCCTGCGAAGCATCAAACACAATTATTCAAAAATTCAAAAAGATGGTATACCTTCGTCTAAGAATTATAGCAACCTGCACAGAAACCAGGTCATATTCCATGTTCTATACACCCGATACAACGACGATTTAAAAAAAACTCACAGAGCAACGTCCGATCCGACTGTATTTGGAGAATTCTTCGGTGACCTCGTAAATATACACGAAGTTATCCCGGGAACCCAAAGCCAGCAAGGAACCGTCAGGAGAGAATTTCACCACCTGGATGGGTTCATTCCCGTCGGTGCCCCCAGCGCGGGGTTCCCTCGTTTCCGCGTCCATCGCGACCCAACGCCCTGAGGTCAAACCGGCCACAATAGTGCTTCCATCTGGTGAGAAACACGCACTTTGGACTCCGTCCTGCTCAAAAAGTAAAGTCAAGTCAGCCATTATTATAGCAACTTATACGTACGCAATCACGAATACATGGTGATTATCATTCAAGTAAATGCAGTCGAAATAATCCTGACAGAATTTTGCCGCGGATTAAATAGAATAATTCTAAACTACGAGTTTTCTTAAGCAATATCTCAAAAAGTTGAAACAGGGGAGTAGAAATCATTTCCAATGACATGATTTGTGCAAGAATGCAATGAAGAGAGAAAATGATGATAAAGCTCGCGTCTAAAAATCCTGAACGTGACTGTATATACACTTCAACACAACTAAAAAAATTGAATAATTGGTTCACGAAAAAAATAAAAATAATTCCATCACCTCCATATCCTTGGCCCACACGACCGAGTGGGACATGGAGTCCCACATTCGCAAGACCTTGTCATGGGCACCAGTCAAAAACTGTCCTTGGTGAGGATGTGCCGCCAGGGCCCAAACTTCGTCGGTGTGTCCCGCGATGCAGGACTCGACAGCACCGTCGAAACTTCCTCGAACGACGGAGTTTCTCGTCGTGCCGACAACCACGGTTCCGGCTTTGCCACTCGTAATCGTACGTACCGGTCCATACGGTTCTGGGATCTTCGAAAGAAAAATCAGGCGGAGGATATAACATTTATTGCACGTCGCAATCGGAATCCCTCCTTATTTGTATGCAGGGACGATGGTCGTTTAAAAAAAAAAACTGCGCTGAAGATAATGTGGGTTATATTCTAGATAGTGTCCCAGATTTTTGCACAGTTCAATTCAGAAGATGTATAAGCAAACAAAAATGTTCAAGTTTAAACTGGTAAAAAAAAGTTATGCAATGTCACGTCCCAGAATTCCACCTGCACCCACTGCTATGAATGAATGAACAGAACACTCTATTTGCCGCTTTTCAGCGTTCACAAGGTTCAATCAAGATTTCCACATTTAGAGAGAATCTTTGATGAGAAATCATATAAAGCCAACAGTTTATCTTGATCCTTTAAGATTTCAGAAAGGGTCTCTTCATTGAATTTATACCCACTGCTATATTTCCCAATAAACTGAGTATAAACTTTCCAAGAGCAAGAAATTGGTAAAAACACGGACCAAATCAGGATGATCATATTCTTATCTATTCAGAGGCCGTTTTTTTTTCTGCAATATTTGCTATTTTTTTTCGACCGACAAAATATTTTTCACGAAATGGATACACAACGAGGAGCAACATGCCTTCGTAAAAAATCTCGTTACAACGAAACAAATATATAGGACCAGTAAACTTTAAATTCGTTGTAAAGATAAATTGGTGATAAGTAAATAATCAAGCATTGTGTCTATTGGAAATAAAGGACCTAAAAAACCACTTCGCCGTAAGCGAGTATTCCTTATAACGAGATTCATTGTAACGTGATTCTACTTTGTACAGTAATATGGAGTAAATCCTGTACCTCAAGTTCCCGGCCAGTTGGCTCATGAGAATTAGAATCCCATTCTCGCAAAACTCCATCTTTTCCTCCTCCAGATACGAAAGTACCGTTTTGCAAGAAGCAAATGGAGAAAACACCGCCTTCGTGAGCTCCTCTGTAGATCTTCTCAATCGTGTTCCCACCTGCAGCAAAAGAAAAAAAAAAGAATGAAAGAGAGAGTAGAATCAGAACCTGCATTCCTAGCCAATTTTCAAAGAATACATTCCTAAGCAGCAAAAATCAAGCATGGAAATATCATATAATGCAGTATAAATAATCTGTTCGATCTCGGACTTTTAATTCTCACCGGGTTCAAGTTTCTCCAAGTTCCTCGATATTTTAGAAGAGAGATAAGCGGAGTTCATTTATTTTAACGCATCCATTCAAAATAATTACAGTATAAATTTTTTTTTCATGTTTAAAAAGATAGGGAAAGGATAAGACTACACGAAGAACAGATATAGACATGGGAAAACTATTTCCGGAAAGCGACGAACTCGACCGAAGTTATGTTTGCAATTCGTTTTTCGGAACAGAGCACGAACAAATGAACACCTCATGTGCATTCCTTCAGCACCAAAGATAAATAATCGAACAACGAAGAACCGAAAGATCCAAAAGGAAACTTCAGCATGACGTCAGCAGTGAATTTATGAGACAGTGGCATAAGAGAGATATTGATCACGCACTGAAGAGAAAACAGCAGTAAAAATTAATTTAAAGCACAATATCTTCAGCTAATTTCTGTACAGTACGAGGTTTAGTTGAATGAACAAATTACAGAGAATTTTTGATGAGAAATCATATAAAGCCAACAGTTTATCTTGATCCTTTAAGATTTCAGAAAGGGTCTCTTCATTGGATTTATACCCACTGCTATATTTCCTAATAAACTGAGTATAAACTTTCCAAGAGCAAGAAATTGGTAAAAACACGGACCAAATCAGGATGATCATATTCTTATCTATTCAGAGGCCGTTTTTTTTCTGCAATATTTGCTATTTTTTTTCGACTGACAAAATATTTTTCACGAAATGGATACACAACGAGGAGCAACATGCCTTCGTAAAAAATCTCGTTACAACGAAACAAATATATTGGACCAGTAAACTATAGATTCGTTGTAAAGATCAATTGGTGATAAGTAAATAATCAAGCATTGTGTCTATTGGGAATGAAGGACCTAAAAACCACTTCGTCGTAAGCGAGTATTCCTTATAACGTGATTCTACTTCGTATCGTAATATGGAGTAAATAATGTACCTCGAGTTCCCGGCCAGTTGGCTCATGAGAATTAGAATCCCATTCCCGCAAAACTCCATCTTTTCCTCCTCCAGATACGAAAGTACCGTTTTGCAAGAAGCAAATGGAGAAAACACCGCCTTCGTGAGCTCCTCTGTAGATCTTCTCAATCGTGTTCCCACCTGCAGCAAAAAAAAAACAAAAAATGAATGAAAGAGAGAGTAAAATCAGAGCCTGCATTCCTAGCCAATTTTCAAAGAATAAATTCCTAGGAGCAGCAAAAATCAAGCATGGAAATATTATATAATGCAGTATAAATAATCTGTTCGATCTCGGACTTTTAATTCTCACCGGGTTCAAGTTTCTCAAAGTTCCTCGATATTTTAGAAGAGAGATAAGCGGAGTTCGTTTATTTTAACGCATCCATTCAAAATAATTCCAGTATAAATTTTTTTTCTTGTTTAAAAAGATAGGGAAAGGATAAGACTACACGAAGACAAGATATAGACATAGGAAAACAATTTCCGGAAAGCGACGAACTCGACCGAAGTTATGTTTGCAAGTCGTTTTTCGGAACAGAGCACGAACAAATGAACACCTCATGTGCATTCCTTCAGCACCAATAAGATAAATAATCGAACAACGAAGAACCGAAAGATCCAAAAGGAAACTTCAGCATGACGTCAGCAGTGAATTTATGAGACAGTGGCATAAGAGAGATATTGATCACGCACTGAAGAGAAAACAGCAGTAAATAATAATCCATCACAGAAACAGAATCGGCTCGTTGAACGGAGTTACTGTATTTTCAGAATCAGACGCTCATTAGATCGCGTATAAACTTGAGAGGAAAATTGCGCGAAAAAACTGCAGCGTCCATTTTTAGATTTTAACCGCTTTGTTGAAAAAAATGAGAGAACTTTTCCTTTCAAAAAATTGCGCAAAAAAGCAAGCGTCCATTTTAGATTTTAACCGCTTTGTTGAAAAAGATGAGAGAATTTTGTCTTTCATACCTCGGGCCCAGACGATGATGTTGCCATTTGAATCGCCCGTGACGACGTTTCCATTGTCGTCGAAAGCCAGGCAAGTCACATACTTGGGCTTGTCACGCTCGAAAAGCCCATTTTTCTTGGACAAGGTTCCATTGGGCTCCAAGGTCCAGAAGGCGCAATGGCTCTTGCCGCAAGTCACGATCACGTTCTTGTCCACCGGATGAAACTCCGCAGAGAGAACACGTTCCGCAGAGCACTAAAGTCACACACAAAAATAATAATAATAAGTGAAGAAATTACCAATACAACACAATATCCGGAAAAGCAACACTTCTTCACACTTCAACGCCAGCAGAGGTCCCAGGGCGCCAAATTTTCTTGGTCAACCACTAGGTGTCGCCTGAACTTCTCAATTTTTTTTCTTACAGATAAAACTCTGCTGTATTTCCTCAAGTAACACAAATCCTGGAGTAAGACGCGAAGCAGGGGTTTTGAGTCAACAATTTTGATGAAACTGTATCCCAAAGTAAGATGTTCAATCCATTTTTCGTGACTTCACAGCATCTGCAATACCGGTGAACTCTCTCTACAACAAAATAAATGGGTTTGTTGTAGAGGGAATTGCGTTGTAGAGAACCCCTATACAATGGGGTTAGAACCCTATGGGTCTGAAAAAGCATTTCATACAGATAATATTGTTTCAGAGAGAGAGTCTCCCTCTGTTTCAAAGATAACAATACCTAGATTTGACACAAGACATGAATTGAACCTGAATTCAGCCAATTTTCAATTATTTTCCCCATTGAAATCAGTTTTCGTCTGATGTCTTGCCTGACTTGGAATGAGAAAGGGGAGAAACTTAGTTCGAAAATTTTCCATGAGAATATAATCCACTAAAACTAACTAGCAACTTCTAAAACTTTTTCGGAAAATTTGACATACCACTCTATGATGCGCTGACCCATTTTTCCTGTTGAATTTGAGAAGAAAGGTGCACGTGGTACTCAAATGAATAAAGTTATTTGCTGTGGATTAGGTTACGTCAAGCAAGCAAAACATTTGCTGATTGATTATGACATTCTCAACTAGTGTTCACGTTAGTGTGTTTCGGCGACATCTGCCCGACATTACAGAAAGCCAGAAGTTACAGTGAAAAGAACCGAACAGTATTTGCGTAATAAGAAGAAAAACATCGTTCCTCAACATGCTAATCAATCAACATCTCGAAGACTGCACATTTTTCACTTCGGTTTTTGTTTTCTCTTTTGCTTTTTATCTTTGGGTTCGGCGCAGTACTGCAATAGTACGCCGAACCCAGCGGACAGTCAAATGAACATGAAAGATGGTGATGGGCAAAGGATAAATATACGGTATGCACCTTCGTCTCGACCAATTTATGACCTCGTTCGCCTCGTTGCCAATCCCAGATCGAGATGTTGTGGTCTGGGGCTTCATCAACAGCACACAGTAATCCACCGCCATCCTGGATTCAGAATACATAAAATAAATGAGTCAGACCAGGTGTTTTCGGGATTTTTTATTTTATTTGCAGAGTACTCACAGCCCCGGAAAAGCTGAGACAGCCAACAGATCGTTCGAACTCTCCAACACCGATGACATGAAGCGTTTGGAGGCTGACGGAGTCCCAGATTCTCACATGAGGCTATACTCCAGAAAATAAAAAAAACATGTAAATGGTGAATAATTCATCTATGCATAACATCAAGACAATCAAAATCCCCTGCCCGAAAATAAGACGGATAATCGAGCGTGAGTCAAATCACAAATCACATCAAGCATGGGTGAGTCCAGCCAACACGTCAATCAAAACATCGTACACATGAAAAAAAATTTATATTCAGGCCTTCACGAACACGAATCAAACATAAACTGCATTCTCAGTAAAATTAGGAAAGAGTAACATCCAAAAATTGTCTCAATGCCTTTCGGAAAAGGTTTCGGAATCGTGAAAAATAAATGAAGTTGAAGCAATATTTCCAACGGCGTCTTTTTAAAAATATTTTCAATCATATACGTGCAGAATATTTTTCTTGGAAACGAAAGCATTCACAGAAACACGTAAAAATCGTCAAATAAGCCTATATTGTCAGTGAAAAAAAAACTTGTAAACTTGTAACTAGGTGTTAAGTAACAAATGAGCTACGAAATACTGTAAGTCATTTTCCATAACTTGACACTTGCTCCAGCAACAACCTGCGCAATAGCTAAGAAAATAAGGTCGAAATCACCATGTTTTCAGCAAAGAAACGATCTAGAAGAAAGCTACAACAGCGTGTGTCAATACGGCGTGCGAAAATTTGCATCACCTAAGCGAACTTCGCCTCTCGGAAATGTATTTGAGAAAGAAAAAAACAAAAACAAATCTCACAGCAGGTGCGTGGGCATATATGCATTTAAAGTATAATGAAACAATTCCCATCCATCAACTAACTCTGCTGTACATACCCACTGCTCGGCTTCTGGAGCTGTTGAATCCTCAGGGGGATTCAATTTCCAAGACTGATTCCACGTACCAAAGAGAATTTGTGCAAGAAAAGACAGAATGAGCGATAACTTCTTTTTTTTTTTCGTGGAAGATAATAATGGAAAACTTATTCGTCAACCTCAAGCGCGCACTTCAATCGTCAACGTTTCAACGCGATTGAGAAATTCCAGGGGAATAAAAAAAATATATATTGAAAATTGTCATGCACCGAGTATTAAAAATGTTCATTCCTTAAAAAAATAAAGAATTATTCTTAATGCACGCGTGGAATTGGAATGGATCGCAAGGCCGAATAAAAATTGACAAGAAAATCTTACCCGAGCGTCTTTTCGATCATGTCCAGCGGTTTGACCAGTGGCCACCAAGAGTTTGCTTGGATGCAAAGCGAGGCTGAAATACATGAAAAAAAACCATGATTAATGCAACACTTTTCAAGGTTTTATGTCGTTCATAAACTAAGCAAAAAAAATTTAGGAAAAAGGTTGAATAAAACGTGTCGCTAAAAATATTTCCATCGACATAAGCGCATTACAAGTTGGAATAAAACAACAAATTGTCGCAGTTTCGAATTCATTTGAAAAATCTTACTCAAACATTTCTGGTTTTTAGAATTCTACTTCAATTTTCAACTGTTCGTACTTTGTAATCACACGGAATCAAATCGAACGCTTGACAACAACCATTTTGATTATCCATTAATGCTAAAACCTTTTTCGAAGATTTTTAAGTGTAACTCACTTCATCTTCGAGCGGAAAGGTCAACATGTATCAAAAGCAGAATCGAATGTCGACAGCCGAGCCCTCATTAATAACAGAGAATGATGAAAAATTTGATTTGAAAACCTTGCAAAAATTCGATTCTCAAATAATAGTTCGACATAGCTGAGCGAAAATTTGTATACTTTTCCTGACACAGATTTGGCAATATCTTTTTGCATCCTTTTCTTGTTCACACAGATTAAAGTGAACACTCCCGAGTGAACTACAAATTTCACAGAATTCTTGACAGATGAACAGATCTACGAGTGATGCATTTTGCAGCACAGTATTATACTCAAAATCTTGAATTGTCAAAGAACTTCATTTCGAGGAATTCAAAAACATTTTCAAACTTCCCTCAGTTTTAAACTTTTGGTCACATCGCGGATACAAAGCTTCAAAAATAATACAGGTGGACTTTTTCCACTACGAAAATCAAGGGACCAGAAAAAAAAAATCGTCTAACAGAGAATTTCGTTGTAGAGAACCCCTATAAAATGGGGAGACCAAAACAATATTCGGTATACAGAGAAAATCGTTGTAGACAAGATCGTTGTAGAGTGAATCCACCTGCATCTAGATTCTTTGTAACGAAATTCTTCTGCATCACATCACCTTCGAAATAAAGTGGGTCACGACCAACCCCTACATAAGTTTGTATATATATTTTTTCTTTTTATTTAATTTTTCTCCAGAGCACAGGCCACAAAAACCTCGTAAAATATCCTTCCAGCCAGGACTGGCACACAAGGAAATAACTACAAGCATAACCGGTTTCCTCGCAATATTCTCTTTGGTATACTGTACAGTTCAGGACAGTGTTCCCAACCTTTTTGGTCCCGTGGACCGGGAAATGTTTGTGAAATTTTCTGAGGACCAGCAAATTTCCATAAAATGTTCGCATGCTCAAAAAAGTTTTTCTTGGAATTTGGAAGACAGCTGGAATTGCAGGTATTTGAACAGTTTTTTGTGTGCAAAACTTGAGTCAAGAACCAACAAAGTAGTTATAGTGAAATGTCTTCAAGAACTGGAGATGTGGGGTTGAAGAAAGGTTTTTCAGACTCAAAAGTTGAAATAATTTTTTAAATGAGGCAAAAATGTGTCTGACGTATTGTTATAGGAGAAATGCAAAGATATAGTTTCCATGAGATAATTTCAACTTCTGATTGTCTTGCCAAAATTTAAGATACAACATACCAGGTGAACCTCAATAACTCAAACCTCCCTAAGTTGAATTTTTTTTCAGATTCCCTTTGAATCCCCTTAAAAACAATACATAAAAAACCTCTCTAAGCTGAAGGCTTTTCCCCTCAAACCTCTGTAAGTCAAATTTTCTTTGGCCTGTTGGCCATTATTTTCTTGAAAAAGTAAAGAAAAAAGCAATAAAAGCAGAAACTTAGGTGTTTTAAAGGAAGTGAAAGACTTAATTGGGGAAAATAAACCCCCTGCCTCCAAGTTTAGCAGCCTTTCAACTCATTCAAGAAGCCATTTAAGCTTTAGAATATCTCTATTTAAATTGTTTCCATTTTTTCCAGAAAAAAGAGCTACTGCAGTTCCAACCTGTAAAATTCCTGACCTCCCTAAGTCGAATTTTTTTGCAGGTCCCTTGAAATTCGACTTAGAGAGGTTCGACTCTATAATGTCCTTAATTGTTACTTTCAAAACATTTACTTTACTCAAGTACCAAGCGCACCTTTTTTCTCGAATTTCAGAAGAAAAAAAGGGGTGCGCGTCATAAGCGGGTACAAATTTTTGAAGAATTTTTAGAAAGTTCTATGTGCATTATACTTGATCATAATGGAGAAATTCGGAAAAAAGTGACAAGAAAACTTTTTTGTACTGAAAAAGTTGAAAATTGGTCAGATTTTTGTTAAATGCATGTCTAAAGTCAAACTTTTTGTTTCTATTTTCGAAATTTTGTGGTTCTAGATTTACAAAAAATTGGGGTGCGAGTCATACTGGGGGATACAATTTTAGGCAAATTTCCAACTGAAAAAACCCTGTGCGCCCCTTACTCGAGGGCGCGTGGTACTCCAGTAAATACGGGTATAATCTCGAGAAATTTCCGGTTGGGGAACACTGGTTTAGGACGACACGGAGAATTTCGACAGGGTTAATTACATACCATTTGATGTCGTCAGTGTGGCCCAAGTAGTGACGTTGCGTCATTTCCTCCACGTTGTACAGCACAGCGACAGCGGCGACGAAGTACACCAGCTCCCCGGTTGGCAGCAGGTACAGGTTCGACCTGCAGTCCTTCCCACGGTACCCATAACTGTATTTCGCATGGCCCAACGAGGAGTGCAATGGTCAAGGAAAATTCGAATCGATTTACAGTACATTATTTTATTCATTATGAATTTGTTTGCTTCGTGTGTGCACGAAATTCTGAAAATTCAAGTGCGTTCAGCAGAGGAATTGTCGCTGTTTGACGCTACACACGCAAAAAAAAAAAAAAGTGGAGCTTCGAAAAGTTTGCTATCAAAAAACTGTCCTTGTTAATTCATCTGAAATCTTCATTATTTAGAATTTCAGATCAAAAAAAAAAAAAGAATTATTATTGCGTAATTTTCTGAAGAAACCTCAACTACAGCATGCTTCCGTTTTGTTATTCCTGACACGTTGCCTCAACTTCTTTACAATTTCCTGGGTCAACGTTCAGAGATGTCAGAGATACAGGCGACACATATCTGACATTCAAGAAATAGTAAGCCTTTGTAACAATCTGAATAGAACTCGAACACAAATTAATCTCTAGTTTCATGCTTGAATGAATACGAATGGGGTTCAATCCAATCAATCCTTCGCCAAATAGGTTAAAAAAAAATTAAACCCCGCTGGTGAAATTCAACAAACATTCAAAAAATGCCATCTTTCAAAATTGGGCATTGAATTTAGCTGATGACGTTTTAATGAGAAGCATGCATGCGAAAAAGGGTTCCGGTTTTTGTTCCGCGCTTTTTCATTCAAGTTCAAAAAAGCTACAAGTTGTGAAATTTAGCAGCAGCGCTTATTCGGGTATAGTGCAATGCAAAAATGCACCTGGAGCTGCATGCTTGAATTAATACGAGCGGGTAAAATTCCATTCAATTCCTTACAAAATGAGCAAAAATTAAAATCCGCCGTTGAAATTCAACAACATTAAAAAATTGCCGTCTCTCGTAAACTCTGGTACTGTATATGGATGCTTTGAATTCAGCTGATGACGTTTGAAAGAAAAGCTCTTGAAAAAGGGTTCCAGTTTTTGTTTCATGTTTTTTTCATTGAAGTTCAGAAGAGCTACAAGTTGTGAAATTTAGCAGCGCTTATTCGGGTATAGCGCAACACATATTCATTGTTGCATCCGAAAATTCCACCAAACTTTTGGAAATTCGGACATAGTCGAGATTTGTGGCTGTATGAAAAAGGATACACCCAGTCCAACTTGAGGGTTTTATCCGGGGCAGGAATGGGTCGGGCAACTTCGAAGCCTTCCATTTCCGCAGTTGGGACGTAGACCTGGATCGGACGTCCTCTGAGGTAGAACCGAACGTTGCCTTCTTCTTCGTTGTAGGAGACATCTCGGAGGCTAGAAATGGCAACATAAATAAAGTACAAATATTAGATTAATAAATACAGTTTTACTACAATCACAATTTTTATTAACACGTTTTTATTAACTCGCTTTCTTGTCCGTTTGTTTGTCTTCCTTTTTCAAAACGTGGTTTTTTAGATTAATTTTTTAATCTACTAAATTTCAGTTTGTCTTCACAAGCTGAACAAAGCGATATCCAGACTAACCAATGCAAATACAAAGAGAGAGAATACTCTGATGGAGAGAAACCCAACAAACGTTTTTCCTCCACTCTGAACTTTTTATTTTGTATAGTGTAGGAGAACCTCTTAAAGGTTCCCTCAAAGACCAGTGAAGGTTAATTATTCTGGTTAACCTCATTACCTTCTCGAATGAGATGCAGGAACTTACTCTGAACCCAAAGAGAGCATAATAAACCTATAACCAGTATAACTTTTGGTAAAAAAATATTTTTTCACGACTTTTGATGTGAGAGGATCACTCCTTTTTTATTCACGCTTCTTCTGTTTATAACCGCATTATTAATTTTTGCACAAATCCTTTCTTTTTCTTGTGTTGTGCTTTCTGTGTTCCTTCTGTGAATCACTTATTTGATGGATAATCATTCATTAAATTGTTTGGAAAAAACTAGGAACATTTATTCAAGGTGACCATTTGAATGTACAGTACAGTACATTTACGTTCTCAGCCAAAAACTCTCAGTTGATTGCCAGTGTTTCATTTTTATTCCACTGCACCTATGTCTTCCATTCTTTTGTTGGGATTGACTTGTACATAAAAAGGCAATCATCAGCCTCCAGATCACATCTTGGTTGCAGATACAGCCTAAGTGAGGCAAAATTTTCATGACTCTGTTACACACGTGCAATTTATTGAAAGAGGCCCTAACAAGGTGCAGGGTGATCATTTTCAAAACACTAACGATATAATAAACAAAGAATCGACAATAAAATCGCGATTTTAAATTTCAAGTCAATTTTGGAAAGCTCAGTTTCCACAGCTGTTGAAGAATTCAGATAAAATATGGCGGAATCTTTTGAAAACCCCAATTCACTGACTAGATTCCTATATTTCATCAGTGGGAATTTGAACATGCGGAGCGAAAATTTTTGAAATAATTACAAAAATTAATACAGTACATTTAAAATGCTAATGAAGGCGGTACTCTATTCAAGACGGTGGCACCTCTAGAAAGGGATGCAATTCAGGAAGAGATTAAAAAGTCAAAGGCTCCTTCATTGAAACTCGAACAACTAAAATAGTGGTTTGAATTTCAAAGGAGCCTTGGAATTCTGGACTAGAATAGTTCACAAGGCTGTTGCTCATTATTCAGTTTGGATAAAGATACTTTTTTTTTAGTAAAGCTCAAATTTTCACGCCTGCTGCATAAACACAATGCACAGAAACGAAACAAAAAGCTTATTTGCCAGAAATGAAAAAGCGTTGGAGATTTGAATTTCAATGAAGGAGCCTTGGACATTTTAGCTAAAATAGTTCAAAAGCCAGGTACCTATTATTCAACTTGGATAAAGTTAATTTTTTTCAGCAAAGCTAAAATATTTACGCCTGCTGCATAAACACAATGCACAGAAGCGAAACAAAAAGCTTTTTCCCGGAAGAAATTACTGTACAGCAAAAAGTTTCCATGATGAAGCCAGGCAACAAAAAGTCAAGAAAATTTGCAAGCGAAACTGTTTCATTTTCCGAAGCGCATAATATTTACGATATATGCGTTCCATGATAGACATACTATACATGCATTTATACGAGAGATCAAGATTATTTGAAAAACCAATGTATTGTGCAGAAACTCTCTGCCGTACCCCGTAGGAGGTACTGTCCAACTGACGGAGCCCATATAATAAGTAAGGGAAACTCATAAATAACTTATGAAGTCGCAGACGTGGGTCATTCATAACTTACAAAGCACCACTTGCACACACGAGGAATGTAGTGGAAAATACAAAACCAGGATTAAAAAGAAAGAAAGAAAGAAAGAAAGAAAGCGGGATTAGTCACCCGTATTCAATTTCCTTCTTCGCCCCACCAGCTCTGAGCATGCCAAACTCGGAGGACGCGCTCATGATGCGCACTAGAGGTCGCGCCAAGTCCGGATCGAACTCTTCCGCGTCATACAAGTTCGGATTGTACGTTTCGGCGTCCGACTCGACCGCCAAAATTTCGTCGTCCCCGGCGTCCGGCGGGTTCGCCACCCCGGGATTACTGGACCCACAACCCATTCCTCACACACCTCTTTCCTCCTCTATTCCCAAGGCAAAAAAAAAGTAAAATCTGGGGTACAACCGTATTTCCGCAATAGTTGCACCAACAGGTGCTCACGTTGGGGACAAATCCCGTCTATTCGGACCCAGAAATATTAAAAGCGGAAAACCAAGCTTTCAAAAAAATTATCGGTTCGTCAAAGAATGCACTAATAAATTTTCTGAATAACACTGTCACATTTTACACTGATTACCAAGCTTCCTACTGTAGTTCATATTTAATGCAGAACACGCGACACAGAACGAAAATGTGTAGGCTTTCAAGTGCGATTGATGTTACCATCCGGAACCTAAATCCCAAATGTTGCAATAAATAAATTACAGGATTACCTACTTGAATATTGAAGCGGAAAGACAATTAAAATATCAAAGAAAGGCAAAAAATCCAATCGACACTAAATCGAAGTCGTCAAATTTTATTTCGCCGAAAAATGTGTAAAGAGCGTTGTACTAATCTAAACCATGTAAAGCATTCTGTGATACGCAATGTGGTTAATGAGTCTATTCCAATTTGAACTCATTTACTCTTGGCGAGGTCACGTCAGGTCAGGTTGATTTTATCTAGATCACGTTCGATACTATTCCATGACATTTTACGTGAATAAGTTATGAAGAAGCCTATAGGAAATGGGGCAGCATTCGCAGGAAAACGACACAAAAAAACTTTTGTAGCCAATAGACGCACAGACTAAAGACTGGAGAATATATATAGTTATTACGTAACTATATATGCAATAATCGGTTTAAGGCCAGAGATGATAATCGTGATTGAAGTGCTGGATGCTATTCATAAAGCTAAACAATTTTGAAAACTGTACCGGAATCCCAACGATATTCAAGTTAGAACTCCACGTTTAACACACATTAATGTATGAAAGTCTCGTGAATTATGGATATAAACGAAGTAATCAAGCCTAGAATATGCGATTACTGTACTCTCTTTTAAAAAAAAGAAGAAATGAAAGGTAATTTTCAAATACTGTAGCATACTGTACAGTACCTGCAAAATAAATACGGTATCAAGATTTGAAATAATGTGACCTTCAGTCTAATTCATGATGAAGAAATTTAGCTTTCGTGGGAAATTAGGCCAGAACTTTTGGAAATAGGAGGGCAAACATGGTATCCAACACATTACAGAAGCTACACCACAGGAGATGCTTCCACTTTGATATCGCACAGTTTGAAAATAAATTGATCTTCAAATACGGTACTGTATTCTACTTGCACTCAAAAGCGATGCACGTCACGAATCCGAAACAGCTTCCCAAAAACTTTAAATCATATATTTATCATAAGCCTTTCATTATATTTTTTTACACCAAGAACGACTGATCGAGGACAAAATCTTGATTTCTAAATCCAACTAACACAAAAAAATGCCGCGTTGTTGTTGGCGATTATCCAGCAGAATAACGGGCATCTAGAACATTTATCTCCAGCTTCGTGAAACCAGGAACTCGGCAATTTCACTGCATCAGCTATTGAGTACGGTACTGAACATTGATTAAAAAAATATATAATCCCTGCTCAAATTTTGGAAATTGGAACAGAAAAAAATATCACGACCACAGAAATAAAATCTAGTCAGAGAGACGAACTAAAAAAAAATTATTACGTGTTGCCTTGACAGCGCCCCGAAATCGAATCGCACACCTACCTGCAAACCTCGCACGACGCACATACGACCCTGTTGGCCAAAGACAACCCCCCCCCCCTCCCCTCCTGCTTTTTGCAATTTCACGACCCCGCCAAAAATTGCTCTCTACCCTGCCTGCTGGCGAACGCAGTGCGTCAGGAAATGCCGGTGCATTATTCAACATTCTAGGAAACTTCCCCCGGTGGTAACGATTTTACCGCAGTTATTATCGACGCAAGTTTTTTTCAAGAAGATTCGTCGGATTTTCTCGATTATCCATGAATTAAAAAAAAGCACATTAAATGGCGTTCAGTCTCACGGTGAAGAAGGTTTCGCACATTTGTCTGTAGACGCGCAAAATTTAATGAGAATGATATTTTATGAAGACGTGAACAGATGATCATACAGCCCAAAATTACATTTCAGCTCAAGTGAAGGCCCACTTTTATCCATACCTTTCTTACCCTCGAAAAAGTGACAGGTCTCATATGATTTCTTAATATGGGAGAATGAGCAACAAATTGCGAGTGTACGACTCATATTTCGACACCAAAAAACAAACCAAGAAAATTCTTTATTTCCGATCGTAACTCGTTCTCCCTGGCCAATAGGAGCTTGCAATTTTAAGGTTTTAGGTTCACTTTACGGCAGATCAGAGGCAAACGATTTCTGTAATTCAAAGATAAGAAAAAGTTAATCAATTTGGCAGTTCTTAGCCTGTATTTCTTCGAAAGGACGTAAAACATCATATGTCAACATCACTTTCCAAAGAGGTGAGTATAGTGATCATTTCCGGGATAAGGCTACTATTTAATGTGCAGACGAAACACATTAAAAAAGCTATATTTAATAGACCTATAAATATAGATCATGTCCATATAAATAGAGATAATTTCCAGGATAAGGCTACTATTTAATGCACAGACAGAACACATTAAAAGGTCTATACTTAATGTGATCTGTCCTTGAATATAATATTAGCCTCGTCCCGGAAATGATCTCCACTGACTTCTTCGGGAAATTTAAAACCAATTAATTAAAAATAATAATAAACAATGACATGCACGGTACGTTTTGCGGAGCACATTCCACAAAATTACTCGGAGTTTGTGACACAATGCAATGGAAAATTGAGCATTTGAGTTTTATGAGACAGACTGAGTTGAAGAGATAAAATATACGCAAGAAAATTTCGTAAAAATACAACAATGGTTTGAAAGAATTCTTGAAAATGAAAACAAAAGTTTGGGACAAAGGCGAGGTGGACAAGTTGAGACGTCGAACCTCGTGAGACTTTTTTTTTCGCTTCTATTTCGCTGTTCCGTGAGGTCCGACACCAGATGTAATGATTTGCAGTACTGACGAAGTACTCGTCCCCCCACACATTGACCCGCGCTCTTTGCTTATAATTCATGAAAGCCGACACTGGAACAAGTGTTGTTTGCTGAAGAAATACATTATTCGAAGGTTGATAAAAGGACGTTGACATTACGGCTCTCTCAATCACACACAGGCGCACGATTTTTCTCGATAAGGACGAAGATTGATTCATTGAAAGCTTTTTTTTTGTTCATAAAAAAAAACCTCGGAATGATTTTTCCAACAAGTAAACGCGTAGTGCGTGGACAAGAGCGATTGTGGGTCACAGACGCAATGTTCGGCGTTCAGATGTATTCATTTACTCATCAGAAATACTGTAGAGGATTGAACTCATTTTTCAAGCAGCAATTCTTCCAAGTCTGTCGTAGAAATATTTATGCAGAGTATCCATGAGCAAGGAAAAACGTTAGAATGCCACTAGATTTTCCATTCAACTAAAACTACGGGCGAGCATTCTTCAATTCCAAGTAACATTATTTAGAAGATGCATTTGTCAACTTGAAAAATCCTGTTTCCGAATTGTGAACGGGATGCACAACAGGTTGAGAGCTGACGCAGGATAAACCCCATCATCTGGGATTTTATTAAAAGTGGTCACAAGCTTCTTATCCCAAATTTTAGAGCCAAATGTATTCTTCCAGAATGAGTCTTCCCCTGAATTCAGTCCACACATTTCATTTTTTAGATTTGTTTTCAATTTACGAGTAATCTTTAAAGTTTCAAAGGTACACTATTGCTCTGCTCTTTGTGATGGAAGTTTGTAAACGTCGCCAAATTGAATGTCAGAGCGTTTCCGAATAGAAATTTATTTTATTTTCATCATGAGAGATTTTTGAACATCTGGAAGGACTGAAGCATATAGCTGTCAACCCACATACAGTATTCGAAGCTCGGCTGTATTTTCGAACCAAGGCGAGAATTTTCATTATACCGAGTCTGTCAATACTGTAGTACAAGACCAAAACCTTGCGAGAAAATCCAAGTGCTCTTCATTCATTCGTATCCATGTCATCTGAAGTGTTCCCGGAGCAGTAAAAAAAAAATAATAATCCGAAAACTAAACTCACTGAAACCCGGATTCAAGGTATCATTTTGAATCATGTGTTCATTGCTCTACTTTTAAAGCTGACCTCGTTAAGATTTATCAAATTCATAAATGCAAGCAAAAAGTCGACTCGGGGACTTCATCACAGTTTGACTAAACAGTAGTTTTTTTTATTAATTAATATACTGGGTATTACAGACTTTGCTGTCTAAAATTGATAAAGTTCAACCCGGAACTGAGTGGAATTTGGAATTTACGGCTGTCGGAAATACGTCGAATCCAGACAGCACTTCGAAGAACACGTACAAATTTTAAGGCAAGGCTACACAAGAAAAAAGCATGCGGAACGGCTCACGCAAGCAACCTTGATCTTGGAATGTTGGCATGGCAACTGACCTCTATGCCCATCAAAACCTGGGTTCGCTACATTGCCAGGACCTGGTCATGTCATGTGGTATACATGTTCGAAATCTTTCAACTGGGAGCCATTTCGCGAATACATTGCTCCTCATTTCAATTCGTTCGAAATACAGTATCCCGAGATTTACTTGTTTCTGTTCCACAGGTTTCTCTCCGATTACTTCAGCATTGCAAATAACTATTTCATATATGCTATTTTTTGAAACAATAAATGTGAGTCGAGATCTCCCCAAGGTTTTCGGTGTTGGGCCAGATCAGGATGACAAAGGTGGATTTAAAATTTTTAAAATCCACTGGTCAGTCGTTAGGCAGCCAAATCCTCCTTAAAGGAGTCCCAAAAACCCTTATATATTTGTCTCCAAAAAAACAGGAGGGCGTGGGTTCAATTGTAGTCCAAAAGGGATTCTTCACCTGCAGTGGCCATCAGTGATTCGTTGTAAGTCAAAGCTGTCATCATAATATTAGTGAGTCCTTGAACAGCTTAATAATACCCTGTTCTCAAACTGAGTTTCATGCGTTGAAGTTCTGCATAGCAACGCACCGGAATTGGAGTACCAGAACATTGCAACAGTGTCTGGCAACCAGTAATTCACA